TGTTAGAGTGTCTGGTCTAGCTAAACTATTTCCTAAATATAATCCTGACATGTTGATCTGTTTCCTAAAGAACATGGAACTCTGTCAAGAAATTAATCCATCGTTTTTACAAATAACAAACCTCTATCAGTTAGCAGTGGAAGAGGAGAAGGAGGGAGGGAGAGAAAGAAGAGGAGAAAGATTGTTGTTCTTTCCATGTCTTTTGTCTACTGATAGACCTGATGAGATGACTAGTCAAGTTTACCAGTTTGGTTGGTGTCTACAGTGTACTAGTAAACATCATTTCTTTCCTCCTCGATACTTTCATGTCCTCTCATTACGTCTTGCTTACAAAATGGCTCGACCTCAAGAAGATGAAAAGTTAAATCGATGTTGTACATTTTGGGAGAATGGACTTTATTGGTCTAATAGTCATGGTGTAGGATCACTGGTAGAGATTGTGGATGAGAGCCAGTGTGTACTAGTAATGATGTCCTTTAAAGAAGGCATTATAATGTCTGTAGGAAGAAATGTGATAGGAGAGGTAATGAGTGTTAAAAAAGAATCCTGTCCCAGTCTAGAAGTAAAAGAGTTAGTTATTGATCCTAAAGAACTAGCCTATCCTGTGAATACACCAAGAGAAAGGACAGTGTATAGTGTAAAAGCTGTGATGTCTGCTATTGTCAAGAAAGAAGAGTTTTTAGTACATGATGATGGAACAAGTACAAGATTGAAGGAGATCCTACCTGATGAATCATTATCAGATATTAGTAACCTGTCACTATTAGGAGGATGTGATTCATACCCCAATGAAACTACAACAATAAAACTTGGTATGTTGTGTAGGTGCACAATTATCAAAATTGTCAAGTAGTGCATGGGATTACTGCTGTACATATGCAGTGCACAGACAATTTATTATTATTTTTATAGATATTAAAGATCTTGATATTGTCATTGAAGAGCTAACAAGACTCAATCATTTACCTTGCCATATATGGCATGATCTTGGTCTTCAGCTAGGACTCTATCAGCCTACACTAGAAGACATCAATGAAGATAATAATGGAGACTCTAAGAAGTGCTTCAGACAGTGTATGTCTGCCTGGTTAAGAGGACAAGATAAAGTGAGAGAGAAAGGAGGTCCTAGTTGGTCATCATTAGCTACAGCACTGGATAAAGAAGGAAAGTGTCGTATTGCTACTAACATTAGAAGTAGACATTGTAAATTAGATAATTGCCCGTAGTTAGTTCATTATATTTATGTTTACTTTTGTTGTATAATTATAGCATTTTCATTATTATTTTGCTCATACTTTCTGACTTATTTGTAAAATTAGCTGAGTCGTAAAAGCTGAGCTGTCATCATGTACTAAATTCCTTATCTCTATAATTAGAATATCACTGATAGTATCAAACCATGTAACATTGTTATTTGAATAGTTACTGTTAGTTTCAAACTATGTTTATTGTTAATGTTGTTATTGGAATTAGTTATGAATCATGATACTATAGGCTACTATTATCAGGAGATCCATGCAGTGCATGGACTACATTCAAATATGAACACACACATAGATAGTGCCGGAATATGTATGAGCCAGGGTTGGGGTCAAGCACTGACCTAAATGCTTAAGCACAAGCGCAAGCACTTTGAAAAGGGCTTAAAGCATTACTTCAAGCATTTCTATGGTAGAACTGTATATGAAGTTATACTAATGAACAAATTGATTCCTCGTCTAAATATCTTTTATGCTAAACCAAACAACCTGTTTATGGGTGCTGATGCTAACTAACTACACTTGCTTTATTTTACAGTCACATGTTAGACTAGAATAATTGAGACTTTATGTACTCATGGTGCTACTAACTCAAAATAGTACTTAATGCTTTAAAATGTGCTTATAAGCACTATCAAAGCCAAGTGCTGAAGCACGAGCACAAGCATGTGTGCTTTAATGAGATTAAGTACTTGAAAGCATTGCAAACACTTGTAAAAATGTGCTTAGAGTACTTTTAAGCACAAGCACTCAAGTGCTTGCCCCATCCCTGGTACCATGAGCCTGCTTTGTTTTGGTTTTTATGTCATTTTACACAGCTTTATATCATTCAATATTTTGCAACTGTGTTGTTTATTTGATATTGAGTTGTTAACTTGAACTAAAACGAGCTCTTGCACCCAATGGCAGCAAATTATGTAAATTTTAGAAAGTTTTTCAAATAAAAATAAATTATAAGTGACAATAATGCTGTATTAAGAAGAAAATGACAAAATAATTATTAATAAATAATGTAAGTTATAATAGTCTTTCTCTATCAGTACGTTGGCCACCTGTTCCTTCAGACTCCCTCTCTACAGCAGCTGGTGAATAAAACCCTTTTCTCCTACTCTTCCTCCTTACAATCCTCAGACCAACGACAACAACAACAACAACAAGAAACAACAACAACACAAAAACAACAACAGCTAATATTATAATAGAAAGACGAGAAGTGTCTTCATCATCATCAATAGGCTCCACAATGAGACAATCCACTCCAGTATAACCTCTGAAACAATTACAGGTGTAACCACCAAACTCATTCTGACACGTTCCATTATTACAAATAGTCGTATTAGTCTCAGCGCATTCATCAATATCAGTTTGACAGTGATCCCCTGTAGTACCTGGTGAACACATACAAGAGTAGCTACCATGAATATTCATACAAGTACCAGTGTTACATATAGGCACTGTAGTATCACACTCGTTGAGATCACTTTCACATCTAGTGCCTGTAAAGCCAGGATAACAGGAGCAGGTGTAGTTACCGATAGTATTAGTACAGTTACCAGTACCAGTGCAGGGGAGGGGGAGGGAGAGACACTCGTTGATGTCCTCATTGCATTGGGAGCCG